ATCCGTGAGGAGAGAGGGTGTGCGCGGCTGCGGGCAGCACCGAGGCCTCTGGGGACGGCTGGGCCACCTCCTGGTTTTCGCTCCCGCCCCGTGGCCCTGTGAGCGCGGGGACCTGAGGGCAGCTGCCTTGGAGCCGCTCCCTGCTGAGGGAACCTTTAACTTGTGTGTGAAGAGAGCCGCCTGCTTCAGGCCTTGTAGGTTTTCAGCAAAATCTTGCCGAATAAAAAAAAAAAAAAAGCTCTCTTAATGCAATAGGCTTTGCAGATATTTAAAAAAAAAACCAAAACCAAACCACAAACTAGTTCAAGAGGCATGTGCTTTTCCTTAGGCGTTAATAAAATGTGGTCAGTGTTCTGAATGTCTTCTGATGCAAACACCAGGACAGCAGGCCTGAAATGGTAGACCCTGCAGGGAGTGAAGAATTTAGTATGAACAGAGAAGACCAGTCTTGATTCCATGTGTACTAGATGTGAAAAAATGTAAAAAAAGCTTATTTAGATTCATGTCAGAAGTATGTTGTCCTTGAATGTTGTCCCTTAAATATTCTCACTGGCAGTCAGAGAAGGAGTGCTGTTGCTTGTGCTATGGAGATGATTATTACCACAATACAAAAAGCACAATCTTTCTACAGTTGAGTTACAGAAAATTATTTAAGTAGACCTTGTCTCAAACTTTCTCTCTCTTGCCTCTTTTTTTTTTTTTTTTTTTTGTAGGAAATATAATCACCATGTCATCTGCACTATTGCCCAAGCCGCAAATGCGGCGCCTTTTGGCCAGTCGGATCAAGTTTCACCTATTTGGGGCATTTTTCGTATCTGTGGGATGCGCAGCTTTATACAAGGTGAGATCTGTAGTCATTCAATTATAAACTGGACTCATTAGAGTGTTTTAAGAATTCATAATATTTTTCTGTTGAGATTTGGTTGAGCTGTTCATCTGAAAGCTTTAGTAATGTATTTTTGTAAGCATGTTTCCAGAACATAAATAAATGTTCCTAATCTTCATTTGAAGAAATGATATGAATGACCCTATGCTGCATGATCAAGATCACGCAATTCGTGACAAATTAACCTTGAGTCTCCTAGTCCTGGACTCCTCTGGATCATTCGCACGATTGATCCACATTAACTCTAGATAGCCTTTGTCTCTCTCTGTCACAGTATCTGAAACTCTAGAGAGTTGTCAAAGTCTTATCTCTAGACTGATTTCAGAAAAAATTGCCCCTAAGCAATTTGGAAGAAACGACTGAATATATCAGTGTGGTGAAGCTTAGTATGGTCCTTTTATCCTTTCTTTTGAAATAGCATGTGGAAACGGAGCATTACAGTTAAAAAAAAACCCCACCACTTACGGATCGGAGTTTTGTTTTTGTCATCCTTAAGAGACATCTGACAATGATAAGAGTGGTAGTTGTTCTTGAGTGCCTTTATTAAATAATTCTCAGATCTCATACACAAAGCAAGCAGCACAGTTTGAATTCCTGTGGAAGAACTGGATCTTGCTTTGCTCATTGAACTCTTTCATATACTGTTTGCAGCATTTGAGTACTCAGGAAGCTATTGATAAAAGTGACTACAAATTAATTTCAGGTTGTTCACAAAAATATCACTGTTGACTTAAACTTCTCAGAAATGCCTATCAGAAACAATAAGCTTGCAAAATTCAAGTTCAGCATCTACTTAACACATCTGTTAAGAGGTAGGCAAGCTTGTTTGTGGTCAGACTTACAATGTAATTTTAATAGTCTGTGGTTTTATACCTTATTTGGCACTTAATACACTAGTAAGGCAGCAGACCATATTTAGAACAAGTAACACGGATCTCAGTAGTGATTTACTTTGTTACATGTTAGATACTGTTGGATAAACCCACCTTGGACTTGCCTTCACATTTTTTTGTGGCTTTTTGGGCATATCCCTGTGCTTCAGGTGAATCCAAGGAGTCAGCGTTATGCCTTTTTGTGTCAGTGAGCTGTAAGATTGGCTTGGCTGTCTTGTAAAATTTTACCAGACTTCTGTACTTGACCTACAGTGTAGCTCAAATGTAACACATTATTTTAGGATGCCATTTTATCTGGAGTTACAGTTTTGCAGCTGCCCACAGGTACAAAACCTGCCATAACAGCACGTTTTACCTGTAAAACTGTGAGCAGGGTGGGCATTGGACACGTGAGTGTCAATATAGGTGGATTGTTTCTGGATCGTAAAAGTGTAATGTGCTGTCTTGTAATGGACTTTCTTTTTAAGGTTTCACTTCAGACATTTGTTTTCCAACCAATGGTCAGGTAGCCCGAACTGTGCATTTGAACAAGAACAAAGTAATATTTTACTAATTTGAACTAAAGGCTTTTTAGACTGATACCCACTGATACAAATATATACAATATATTTATCAACGACTTGGATGAGGGAGTAGAGTGCACCCTCAGCAAGTTTGCTGATGATACGAAACTGGGAGGAGTGGCTGACACACCTGAAGGCTGTGCTTCCATTCAGTGAGACCTGGACAGGCTGGAGATTTGGGCGGGGAAAAATTTAATGCAATTTAACAAGGGCAAGTGTAGAGTCTTGCATCTGGGCAAGAACAATTCCAGGTACCAGTGTAAGCTGGGTATTGACCTGTTGGAGAGTAGTGTAGGGGAGAGGGACTGTGGGGTCCTGGTGGCCAGCAGGATGACCATGAGCCAGCACTGTGTCCTCGTGGCCAAGAAGGCCAATGGCATCCTGGGCTGTATTAGAAGGGGGGTGGTCAGTAGGTCGAGAGAGGTTCTCCTCCCCCTCTACTCTGCCCTGATGAGACCACATCTGGAATATTGTGTCCAGTTCTGGGCCCCTCAGTTCAAGAGGGACAGAGAACTGCTGGAGAGAGTCCAGCGCAGAGCCATGAAGATGATGAAGGGAATGGAGCATCTCCCTTATGAGGAAAGGCTGAGGGAGCTGGGTCTCTTTAGCCTGGAAAAGAGGAGACTGAGGGGTGACCTAATTAATGTTTATAAATATGTAAAGGGTGAGTGTCAGGAGGATGGAGCCAGGCTCTTCTCTGTGACATCCAGTGATAGGACAAGGGGCAATGGGTGCAAGCTGGAACATAGGAGGTTCCACTTGAATATGAGAAAAAACTTCTTTATGGTGAGGGTGACAGAGCACTGGAACAGGCTGCCCAGAGAGGGTGTGGAGTCTCCTTCTCTGGAGACATTCAAAGCCCGCCTGGATGCGTTCCTGTGTGATCTGATCTAGGTGTTCCTGCTCCGGCAGGGGGATTGGACTGGATGATCTTTCGAGGTCCCTTCCAATCTCTAACATTCTGTGATTCTGTGTGAAATCATAGCACTAAAAAAAAAAAATTCTGTGCATAAAGCTTTGCAAGCTTTAATTTTCTATGTGTTACTTTCCAGTTTGGAGTTGCTGAGCCCAGAAAACGAGCTTATGCAGAGTTCTATAAAAACTATGATGCCATGAAGGACTTTGAAGCCATGAGAGCAGCTGGTGTGTTTGAGTCTGCACCGCCCAAATGATAGTAAACTGCATTTCCAGGTAATAAGCTACTCTGCAGTAGAACAAGTGTTAAGTGCGATTGTTTCAGGGAAACATTGTGCTTCTATTTGGAGAATCCTCCATTTTGATCAAATAGAAAGGTGCTCCCAAAGAAAAAAGATACAAATTGCACTTGAGACCTCTGGGTAATAAAAACACAAAGAAATACAGCAACTGGGGAGCGGGGAGTAAGGGCAGAGTAGAATGCTCCTGTATACCTTTTGGGTAACGTATTGAACTTGCGTGATACAGGAGACTTGCACAAAGTGATGTCAGGCCTTCCCCTCCTCACACAGCCATGTTCAGAGCAATTCTGTGTTCACATGGAGAGCAGACAAAGCTCCTGCATGAGACTATAAGACACGCCTGATATCGCTGTTATGTTGATGCTGTCACATCTTGAACTGCTCAGCTTCTGGCTATCTAGATCTGCTACTCGTGTGCTTGTGGTGGTACAGTGAATGATAAAATGGAGAGGCTGTTTCTCTCATAGCATGCATCTTAACGTAAGAAACAGACAGCTTCCACACATCCTTTCATCCTTCGAAGTTGGTGAGAGGGGGAAGATAACCAGGCATGAGAGGAAATATATTTAAATACATATGTACATATATATATATATAAATTGCAGTGGCATACCACTCTGTGTACTAATATTCAGATTTTTGTCATACTGAATTGAGCTTGAATTGAACTTTGTTCATTATACTGTTTTCCTGGCACTTAACACTGCCTTTTGTTTGAAGACTACCAAACTTTGTTCTCCCTTACTTGTCGTCATAACATGAGGGAAGAAAAAGGTCTTGATTTCAACCTTGTTGTAGTTATTAGTAAGCACACTGACTAAACTGCACAAGCTCATGATGTGACAACTCAATAAAGAATTTCTCCTCACTTCTTGATCCAGATTTCTTACATTGAGTTCTCTGCTTCTCTTAAAATGACTTCAAACTAATCTAGAATGATAGCTTTTTCATTCTTTTGGAATGTTTTCATATTGTGATCATTACGTGATAATCTGTGGCTCTAATTATCCTGGCCAGCTGGATTTTCTCAGCTGTTTGCTTAAAGCAGCAAGATTGCATAAAACATTTGTGCTTAACACTATTAATACTAAATTCTGTTGTGTGACAATCTACAACTATCTGGTTTCTGCATAACATAATTACATAAAAAAAAGCAGAGCTCCAGCTCTTCTAACAAATGTAAAAAGAAAAAAAAAAAAAAGAAAAAAAATGTGGCAGTCCCTTTGTTACGTTTTACTTCTGGTTTTTAGCTATGACTGCAGCAAAGATAAATAATGAAATGATAAATTCACCTGGTTTTAATCCTGGTAATTCTGCCTCTGGTTTGGTTCTATTGCTAATATATAGGCACTTTTAAACTTTCTTAGACACTAGAATCGCATTCTTTAGTCAGGTGGCCTTCATCAGAGTATTCTGAAAGGCCATCTGGTGGTAAAATCATTTGAAACAAACACTGTCAACAAGGATGCATGTTGAATATTTAATTGGAATCACGAGCAGGATTTTTTTCAGTGCAAACAGAGCTCCACTCTCAGCTTATGTTCCCATTTGCAGCTGAAAAAAAAAAAAGTTGCATATTGTGTGCACCTGTTAAAATTAAATGTTTCCTAAACATTTCTTCCATTCCTTAATTATGCCAGCTCAAAAGAAAATGTGAAAGACAAATCTTTTTATGTGATTTTGTTTGAATTGCTGGTGCTTCTTGTTCTTTCATTTATTTATATGAGAACTGGTATTTTTCACTCCTTCATAGTAGAAGAGGTTGGGGTTTTTTCGTGCTTGCACATGAATACATAAGTAGAAGCAGGGGAAAATAATGCCAGTGTTTCAAATGTTCTGAAAAGACTGTGAAAAGGACAAGTACACAGAACAGATGGAAGGCATTTTCATTTGCCTCAGTAGCTTAAATCTTAGCTATGGAAGTTGGATGGAGGTTGAATTTGATGCTTTTTTTTGGGTATAGTTACATAAAGGGTATGGTGGTCACACATGCTCTACATCTCCCATTTTGTTGGAATATATTCTTTATGTGGCAGTAAATACAATGTTTTCACCTCACATAAGACTCACTCTGGAATCAGTACTTAGCCCCAAAATTGATGAAAGGTAGGGTAAGCAGGGGCGAGAATTCATGAGTTAGCATGGAACTCTGCACTGAGTTTGTTCCTGCTGGGTTTTTAGGCACCTTGGTACCCTAGTGTGAATTTACACTGTTTTGGCTACTTGGCGTGGACTTTGTGTGGTGTTACTGACAGTGGACACCAAGTGCGAGGATAAATTTGTCAGGTATCCTACCTTCACAGTGTGCTCAGTAATAGGATAAAGGGGAAGCTACAAGTTTGGTGCTAACCACTTGCATGACTCTTGTCATGGAGCACAGCTGGCCTTGGATTGTGTTCAATACGATGTGGAGAAGCAATTTGAGTTTGGTTTTCTTCCTTCCTTGGTAGGTTGCCTACACCACTTGTTTCCTCTCTGGCTCCTATCTGAAAGCTGCATTCCTTTCTCTTTCAGGCCCTTAGCAAGCTTGATTCAGTTATCATTGCAGCATGTATAGTGAATCTGACGTGCTGTGCAGTATTGTTCCAGCTCATGATTTGTTCCATGTTTCTTCTGTTTGCCACATGAAGGGTGTGTGAATCTTAAACCATCAGGAAATAACAGGGGGAATTCCTCTAGACTAAACCACCACATAAACATTTCTCTCTATTGCTTTGCATTCGTACATACTGATATGTTTACTTAGAGCATGAAGTTTGTCCAACATAATTTTTTTTTTTATCTTGCAGATCCCCTTCAGTCTAAGGAGACTTGATGACTCAAGCTTACCTGTTCACTGGGTTGTAAAGTGTAATGCGCTTCAGTGCATGGCACACTGCGGTGTAACTCAATAAATAAAATACATGTCAGTGGCGCTTAGTTTTCATCTTTAATGTCAAAACGCTTAAGTGCTCAGATGCTGGGAAGAGTGGTGGAAAGTCTTCATAAATTGCTCAAGATGGATAAGGCTAGTTTTCTCTTCCCCGTGAATGATTTGCATCTTTGTTTTGGCCAAATTCCACATTTGATAACAAAGTGTATCCCTAAGCAGTTACAGCTAGGTTGTCTTTGCTCCTGCTGGGAATATGCAAGAGGATAGTTGTTACAGGAAGGGAGAGGCTGGATTTCTGGAAGGGCCTGTGTTACCTCTGGCTTCAGAAAGTGAATGTCCTTGAGATGCAAGAATTTGGGGAGGAATTCTGGAAATATACGAGCCAACCTTATCTTTTTTCTGCTGCCCTCACTGTATTACCTTCGGTACAGCAGCAAGCTGTTACATAAAGACTTAGGAACTATGCAAATATCCACTCTTGTACATAGTATGTTACTCTAATTGGAAAATTACTCTCAACTGCAGGTATCTTAACATAGATTTGATGTGCAAGGGGAAAGAGGATAAAAGCAGACAAAAGAACAAATACTTATTTTAGGATATTATGGTAATGAAAATCTTTGTGTGCTGCTTCTAGACATGTATTTTTAATATCTGGAAGTAGCTAGGTATGGTTTTGATCTCTGTGTTCTGTGTAGTTTGAGACCTGCTGCCCTATCTTCTGCTGTGACACCCATCATTTGGAACACTGTGTGTTGCCTGTTGCTGAGGTTGAAGATGGTACTAGGGCTGTAGCTCTTGATTGCTGAATGTGGGTACTAGGAGAGGAGGCGTCAAAGCTGATTGTGTGAAAGGAGGAAAGGCTTTATATGAAGAAGCATGACAAATTAAGCCATCTGTGTTGTATTTGAAGGTCTTCAGTTCAATTCCTGTTTGGAGTAACTCATTATTTTAAATGGATCATTAACTACTTAACACTTAATAGGTATCCTTGAGCAACATTTGGACTAATGAAAGCAAGTAAGTAAAGTAATTGATCCAGCACACTGTTACAGAGCACCATGGGATTTTCTTTAAATTTTCCATACAGGCAGTGCTTTAAGCAAAGAATTTTACATTAGTGGTACAGGGGGAAACCATCTAGTAATCAAAATACCCCTGCTCTTATAAATGTAAACCAAAGGTTAACAATAGCAGATGATACCCATTTATCTTCACAATGTACAGAATAAACAGTGTATGTCATTAAGCACTGACTAACATTTTCTCAGGCATGTCTGCAGGTTTAAATAGCCAGGGGTCTTTAGTCATACTGACAGCTTCAGAGGCAAAGAAACTTGCTACTGCCAGGTGTGCAGGCTAATAGATCTGACTTCCCTTGCAGCGCTAGCCCCTATATTCTTCCTGGATGCAATGAATTAATTTACTTTTAAATTCCAAGTTTCTTCTAAACTGTTGCAGCCAACAGCAGCTATTGTTGTAGTCTGTGTTCCTTCAGTTACCAGCCTGTGTAGATTTAAAGAAATGAGTGGCTTGTGACTGAAGATAACTTTTTGGATGGTAGAGCAGGCTCAAGAGATGTGAATGGTTAAGTGTATTCAACAAGGACAAAGAAAGGTAAGCTCTGACTTCGGTGTCTGTGCTTTGAGAGGCTGTAGGTTATAATTGTTGCTTTCTGTAGAATATTATGGTTTCACAATGGCTGCAAAGCAAGTATTTCCTTTTAGCAGGCAATGCCAACCAGCCCATAGCTTGCTTTCCTCTGGAGTGGGAAGGGAGGGCAAAGCTGGGCGCCTAACGTGGGAGTTCGGTAGAAGAGCTAATCTTCTTTTCTGAAATTGGCATCAACCCATCAATTTTCCTTTTTTTTCCTTTGTCAGCAAGAGTTCAGCTAATCCTGTCTTACAAACAATTGGGAGGGGGACGTAGCATAGTACAAGAAAGACCTGTGTGAGTTAGCCCCTCATCAGCTGCTTGTTACAGGGCCTGGCATGCTGTTTCTAGGAGATGCAGAGCTGAGAAACATGCTTGTTTCCTCCGAGTCGAGACCATCCCAACTGTCTGTAAAGTTTTTTGCTATATTTATGTAAGAAATAACGTATAAAAAGGAATTGTTTGACCTAAACTACTTTGGGAAAGGTCTTGCTGTGTATAAGCCTGACCATGCTTTCAAATTTTTGGCTGGCTGACTTTATTCTGGAGTGTTTGAGGAATGATTGATTGTTCTGGAAGCAAACTAGAAAGATAGATTTGAAGTTGTGAGCTCTCCAGGTCTAAAGAGCATTATGAGAGTAGGCATATTTTAAAAGTACACATTGGAGTGCTTTAGCAGCTAAGTACAGGCAGCTGCTCTTTGGACAACTTTGTTTTCATAGTTCACACAGCTCATATGTAGGAGAGGCTGATTTATATGCCGTCTCCACACATGTTTCCATACATGTGGTCAGAAGGGGGAGAAAGAACCTGCCTAATGCAGTAAAGATGCTTAGCTTAATTCACTAAAGAAGAGTAATTTAAGCAAGTGTTTATTCCAGGAGAATATAATGCAGGAAAAACATGCATTTTAAACAATGGCTGCAATATACAAACTTTTAGAAATTTAGCTGCTGCCTTCCCTCATTTTTTGCAGGTGTGTTTGCATCCTCTTGTCTGGTTTGTGTACTACATAAATAATGAACAGATTAGGCTAATTCAAATGGTGACTACAGTGCCATTTTGATTCAGTTAAAGTCACAAAAGCATAGAACTTCTCAGCCTATGGTTTTTGGCAAGCTAATCATCAGTTTTTAGTTCCAAAGTATTGTCATGTGTCTGTTGCATTTTCTGGTACATGACAAAGTCCAGTGACCAAGTGGAATCTAATGGAGTCTACATGAAGCTTGTATGTCTGTCCTGTCCTACACAGTGACCTGTTCATCCCTTATAACTGAATGACCAAAGAGCTCACAAAAACAAGCAGTATAGGAATAGGTTTATTATCTTTAAACAATCTCATTATATTACAATTTAACCACCAATATGCAAAATTAGAAGTATTAAACTATTTCCATAAAATACTCTGGAATGAAGCATGTGTGTGTATATATACATATACATTTCTTTTTAAAATAAGTGTTATTTAAACAATTACTAAGTTATTAAATCACTGGATGAAATGTTGATAATGGATGGGCTTATTTCACATTCAGGAAAGGACAGTTCAGATCCCAGACTTCTGTATTTTCAGTACACAAGAGACACTGCTTTTAGAAATACCTTTTAACAAATCAGAACTCAAGAGAAAAGCATTGGAGTTACTACATTCTTATTTACTGTGCATTTGGTCATATCAAGTATGCATAGAGGTTATTAACTATAAAGCATATGCATCTGCTCCAAATGATGCTCAGATTTTATTCCAGTTCTTGTGTCCAATTCCGACCATGTTCAGGAATCCCCAGACAAAATTCATGTCCATAAGTATGTGGAAAAGGAGAGAAGAGTAACATTTATAGTGGAAAACCAGGTAAGCTTTTCTTTTTTAAATAAAGCTGCCATAGCCAGATTTGGTTTATAAAATAATCTAACTGTGCCCAGAGACAGTTAATTCTTGTCTATTACAAACTGTAAAACATCTGAAAAATAAGACACTTAGCAAGCTCATTTGTCTTGATGTGTTTAACATCATATTCCTAAGTGTGTCGTGATGGCATCATTAACTGTTAATGTAATTGGAGCCTGTGCTCCATTCTTCTCAATCAACTCAAAAAAACCCCCTCACTTCGCTTAGCACAAACATATTTGAAAGGTTATGTTTCTAAATATCCCAGGTTTATCTGTTCAGAGATGATAAGCATAAAATGAATTGGGGCTTAAGTGAGCAACGCACTATGGAGCGGTGGCAGATCGGAAGTGAGACCCAACGAGGCTATACTTAGCACCTGCAGATCGACCTTACATCCAGCTGATAGATTTTTGGTAGATTTTACAGAGACTGAGCTTTGTTTCTTAAATTTTTGAACTGCGTGTTTCTGGCTTCCAGGTAACAACCAGACAATGCACAGCATCACACATACACTGAAAGTCCTGAAAATTTGATGTTGGATAAAATAAAGTTTCTGTATACAGACCGTTTTAAAAATAAATTCATGTTGTAGTTCATGTTTTGTTCTCCAAACCACACAAAGGCACTAGTTTACATTAAGGACTAATGTCCTGCTAAACTTCAGTCAAATAAAGGAAGCTATTTTAAGGTTAAAGTGGTGCTAAAACCCAGCTGTCAGTAGTAACTTAAAGCAGCCACACTGGGTTTTTCAGATTTAGTGGGGGGAAAATGTTTTGCCTCAGGACGTACATGTTGGGGGGAGTGAATGTGTGGGGGGAAAGGCTCAGCCTTGAGCAAGTTTTTACAGCTGAGTTATAAACCTGGTTTATAACAGAAACTGGCAGACCCTAAAATATGATATAGAAGGTATTGATACACATTTAGTGTGTGTGGGGAAAAATGTCTGTATGGACACAATTTTTCCTTATTCTCTGATTTTTGGTTATTAAAAAGAAAAAGGATTTTGATTGAGCTATAGCCCAAGGCTGCTCCTTTTCACTTTATTAATTTGCTAGAACATTTTCCTTCCAGGACCAGTGTTTTTTTTATGTTGTCAAGGTAAAAGGTTTTTGGGCTTAACTTCATTATCATCTCCTACCTCCTCAAAAATTACACCATCTCTACCTTGATGTAGGTAACTGCAGAGAAAACATGACTTTCTAAATGGTAAGGTATTACTCACCACAAATAAGTATTAATGAAATCCTTTCCTCAAGGCTTTATTTTTTACCATGGTGAATTTGCTAATGAATACTTGGGCAAAATTTGGATCAACCACATATTGATATGTTTTTGTTATAGTTGGAAGGTGGTCAGCAGCCACAGTTTGCAATGCTGACGCTGTTGAGGTGCTGGGAGCGAGGTGATAGGATGTCTTTGTGACGTACTCCATGAGGCGGTTGTATTGTTGTTCCGATAGTCTCTCTCTAGCTCCATCTGCCTGAAATCAGAGAACA